TTTCTGGGGCAAAAGAAACATCCTGATACATATGTACATCTTGCTTCTCACCTCAGACCATAAGCGTCCCACCATCAGTGTAGAGAGGGATTGTCTGATTCACCTCCATGTCACCTCTCGTCTTTCCAGCTTTCCCCTTCCTGGCCACACCAGGACCTGTGATCATCACAACAACTCACAGGAGATATATTTCTTGATGGCACCTGGAGGCCCTGGCGATTCCTCAGGTCTCTCCCTGCTGCCCACTTCCCACCTCTGCAGGGCAGAAGACGACACTTTGCAGTCTATGTGAAGGGGCACTGGGAAGAAGGGATTGCTGGAGCTCAACCTGCTGCTGCCGCAGCGCTATGCCCTTTCCCTCTCTCTGTTGACCATTTTAATGATTCTTCTGCACTTTTGGATGCATCGTATGTAAACCCCCTTCCCCTCATACACACAGCATTTACCTGGCTTGCCCAGAGAGATGGTTGGGTTTTGGAAGCACCAGGTGCAGCTGCTGGGACCACTGGTTGGAGAAACATTTGCCTCCTGAGCCCGTTAATTAGCACAGTAACGGTAACTGTGCTCCATTAGCCAACCCATGTGGTCGAGTCCCCTCCCCATCCACCAACCTTGCCCTTAATGAGAGCTGGAAGGGGGACACTCACAAAACACTGCCTCAGAATAATATTCGGCTTTGTCCGCGCCGGTAACGAGAGCTGACAGGATCACTACGTCCATTTCTCTTCTAATTAGCACACTTCCAGCTCGGCCTGAGCCAGCAGCCAGAGAAAAGCGATCGGACAACCGTACCGAATCACAAACACAAAGAGGCCCATTCCCCATAATTAGGTGAGACAATCCCTCAGTCTTTTCTCGGCTGGAGCTTGCCGGTAAGACTCTCGCTGTTTTGGTAAGTCCCAGCAACACAAGTTACACGTCTCCCCAGGACACTAATAAGCCCCTAATTGTCTTCCGCTTCACACGGCTCGTACCATAGGTCTGACTTGGGGGAATTCTTCTAACGAGCGGCAGCCAGCGCTCCCTGCGCCGCAGACGGATGGGGAGCCGCCTCTCGGGCACCAGGAGGAGAAGGGGGACAGGGAGAAACAGCCAGAAAAGCAGCCCAGGCGCTGGGGCCCAGCTACACGGCATGGGGCCGGTGGCTGGGCAGCAGCCACCCATTGCTGGGGACACAGACCTTCTCTACCCTCTCTCCATCGCCACCGTCCACCTGCGTGGTGGAAACCCAAGTTCAACTCTCTGGGCTGCCTTCTCCTTTCTCGTCTCCAGCAGTACACAGGTACCCGCATTTCCATGCAGAAATGCACCATCAAAACCAAACATTTGATTACAAAGATTTGCCTTAAGTCTCTGCTAAGGCTTGCTCGGGGCTACCCTTGGAGAAATGCAGCACCTGGCACGTGCTTTTCTCCAGTGAGGCCACACCTCAGAGTTCAGGCTGGGAAGAAGCATGGGTGTAAACGAGACCCTGACAGTTCCCATGGAAGGGAACACATGCTGGGTCTCACAGAACAGGTTTCTAAAGATGCCCACAAAATGATTAAAAACATGAGAACTTCCAGAAGAAGTTGGAGGTGGGTAGGAGACCCCAGCTCAAACTCCCTGATCAAAATAAGGCAAAGAAAGACACATACTCCCTCTAACTTTCAATCTGACACTTTCTTGAGAAACCATCATCAACCAAATATTTTTCAGCAAAACATTTTCCCTAATTTTTGATGACAAGCTCATTTTGAGCAAAATATCTCAGCTGATCCCGTTAAGGATACTCAGGGCCTGCAGATCCCTTTGCCTCCTGTGCAGCTGATTACAAATTGGTCCCTGCAAATCAGGCCAACGGGCCTCACAGGACGTGCTTCGTTCCCCAGTTTTACATGTGCTATTTGGCTTCAGTGTGCTAAGCAGGGGGAGAAACCTAAGACAGTGACAAACTGATCCATGCAGAGTAGAAGAGAAAGACAGGCACCGGTGATTACCTTGAAAGGCAATTTAGGATAATCAATATACATAGATATATATAAATAATTAAATTAAAACTAGCTATAACTAATAAGCTACTTTAATACAGGGAGAGGAAAACAAAATAAAGGCCACAGGACCAGGCAGCCTGAGCATCCATGCCCACTTGGGTCACTCTGCTGGTCTCTTGTCCCTCATTCTCATGTAGCTGATGAGCCCTCTTCCTGCCTTTTCATACATAACCTGCTGCATTTTGGGCTATTGCAGTAAGTGGAAGATGGCAAATGGCAAATTTCTGATGCTTCAGAATTAGCCTTAAAATTCTGTGATTATTAGGAAAGTTGTTAGATGTGCCCGGTATTTTTGGGAGGGGAATCTTCCCTGGCATCCAAGTGCCTGCAAGCACAAAATTTAATTACCCTATATTATTACGCCTACTCATCAGCTATTGGCCACAGAGCCAGCCTTTCAAGTGATATAGAACCAAGTCAAGTACTTTGTCCCCCCAGAGATCTGGTCAATAAATAAGGTGCAAGGTCATTCTTAATACCCATTTTTTCTACTAGCAATTAAGTAAGGGCTTTCAAGCTCAGCCTTCTTCTTCTTTTCTGTTCCTTACTGAGGTGTCTATAACAGAGACAGGCAGGGAGCGTTCTGGCTTCACTGGTCACCGATCTGTATTATAGGAATCAGCAGGCAAGCCAGAGGTCAACCACACAAACCCAACAAGAAAACGCCTATTCTGTACACGCATCAGCTGCCTGGAGTCAGTCATCCTGCTCAAAGGGACATGACGGAAAAGGTCAAGTCTAAAAATCGGCAGTTTCAATGGATGATGAAGTCAAAATACGAAGAGATAGCACCATGCTGAAAATCCAGCACAATCTAAATTAAAATGGCATTATTGCACATATTCTATGCAAAATGTGAATTACACTCTTTAGAAACTGGATCAGTCCATACTTCTCTGGCCACTTGAGCTTTTAAATATCTTTACATGGACTTCAACCAATTGGCCACAATTGACTTCAGGATTTTGCATTTCACATCCTCCTGAAAGAAACTCAAAGCACTGATGTAAGGACTGGCTTGCAGCAGTAACACATCTCTAGAATAGCTTTGATTCCAAGAACCACAGTATCACATGAAAACAAAAGGATCCAGTCTTTTTCTTTTCCATTTCCTTGTTTTCCTTTTTCTCTTTTTTTTTTTCCTTTTTTTAACTTTTAAAAATATCAAAGTCCACCTCTTATCAGGGCAATGCATATTTGGCACCATACATACAGTATCTTTGGAAGTTTGGCACACTGGCAGATGTATATGCTGGGATGTGCATGTAGGAACCATGGGTTTTGATATTTCTGTGGTTGGACATTTTTACTATAATGATTATAGAAATGCATTTACAACATTTGCATTTGTTGTTCTAATCATGTTGATACAGTTCAGAGTTTGTTGGTCCATCAGAAGTTTCTGTCCAACTGTGATTTTGCTGGGCTGAAGATACAGAGAGGCTCTTCTGGGAAATTTTCTTCCAATTAGTTATCTTCTTTTTCTATAGGCTGATTATTTAATGACTTTTTAAAAAGTGTCAGTACAGAATGGTATATGAAAATGGGGGTACAACATTAAGGAGTAAGGACTATTTTAATGTTATATTAAGTTGCATGCCGTATTCAGACAGCTCACTCAAAGACACGATGCATTTCCCTGTTAAGAGTTGTCTTTTCTTTTTGATTGCGTATGTCTAAAAATTGATATTAGTTGAGAAGTATTACAGAAATGTTTATGCAATGTTACTGAACTTGTGGTAGGATAGGAGTCCAGGATGTCAGACCATATGACAAAGATGTAATTTATCTTTTTTACATACTGCATAGGGTGATGATGGAATTACCCAGTATCACTTCCTCAACATGAAGTGGTTGGCATAACTGTCGTCATGATTTGGAAAAAGTGTTGCCTAAGACAAGTTCCTGCGGGTGAAGATGAAGTGGATGAGATCAGCTGCGTGCACAGACTGCAAATCTAAGTGATGATCCTGTTCTCAGAGATACTCAAAACAGGATTTAGCCCATCATGATGTGGGAGAAAATAGCAGAGGAACAAAATATGGGCTGTAAGTAGGACTTACACACCTTCACAGTATGCTCGCACTCTGAATATTCTGCAATTTTGATTATGCCATCTCAGATAGGCTGTAATAGAAGACAGACAATTGAACATTGTGAACATAAGGAAGGTGAACATAACCATGGAATCAAAAACATAACAGAAGCTGAAAAATCATGAGTAGTGCACAGACAGCAAAGAAGAAAAAAACCAAACAACTGTTTCTGACAATAAAAGAAATGAAAGGTTCAAAATGGAATTATCAGGTAAGCAGTCAAAACAAA